ACTTTCAGTTAATACTTTCAGTCAATTAATAAAGTGTATACTATTTAGTTATTTTGATCTAAATTAATCGAAAATATTTTAAATAATGAAAAATATGTTTGATAAAAGTTCTGCGTCAAAGGGTTAAAAGGTATAACATATAAATTAAGCACTTCAGCGATAACTCTTATGGCAATGAACCCGATATAGATACGTGTGACTTAAGTTCGATTCACGGCTATTACAGCGTTTTTGATGCCTACAACGCTCATATATATTCAATTCAGATTCGAGTCTCCACGAGATTCATATATTCTTCCCGTTACGCTTTAAATACACAGTTGATACAAAATATCTGTATTAATAAACTCACTGTCATCAAGATTACCAAGTGAAGATTTTATGATTGGCTTTCCTTTGAATATTAGTTAACTATTAGTTTCACGTCCACAAAGGTAAATTTGTTTGGATGCTTGACTCAGAAGTGTAATTGCTTTTAGAGTTAGGAGCTAGCCATAAAACTATGTGGTTTAGAAGGCAAACGTCTTATCCTCAAATTTATTTTCGTGGCAGATGACCATCGATATTTTAAGAAAAACTAATATCATATTTATTTTAACAGATATTAGATTGTTTAAATGTGTTTCAATCCAATAATAACATTTGAAATATTGTTTTAACACTGTGTTACTGTATGTTTAGGTCAATGATCAACTGCAGTGGAAATAAAACAAATGCATTTGACACTTTTAGTTGCTCACTTAATATAAAAAAACTACACATTTTAATAAATGCAACGCCATCGATAGCAACATTGTACAGCAAGATATATTTCGAAAAAAATACTAAACGATTAATTTCCTTAGCTCTTCAATAAACACACTGAATTTTTTCAGCTATGGCTTTCGGAGTTACTCTACAATCTATATGTCTCTCTCTTTCTCTCAAAACACGTATTAAAGAAAAATAGTAATAATCGCTACCAAAATAAACGTGTTTTGTTTTTTTTTTATTTTTCATTTTTTATTTATTTTTTATTTTTTTAATTATGTTTTTAAATTTTCTAATTTTTTTACTTTTTATTTATTTTTTATTTTTTTATTTATGTTTTTTTTAAAAATTTTTTTATCTTTTATTTTTTATTTATGTTTTTTTTATTCATGTTTTTTATTTTTTATTTTTTTATTTTTATTTATTTCGTTTTTTTTTTGTTTGACAACAATCTGCTTACTTCCCTTAGGCTTAAAAAATAAAAAAATTCAAAAATTGTTTGTTTTGCACTACATTTACTGTAAATTTACACTTCAATTAACGCTATCTTACAGATGTTTTTTTGCGCAATTATATTTTTATTATTTTTTTTTCAATTTTCTGTAATTTCTTTTTTTTTAATTGGGAAACCCTTAATGCCTCAGTTGTTTCTAACTTGAGAGCAAGAATTAAGATATCTGCTCTACCCCCAGGAGGTATTCGGGAATTTCAACTCATCGTCCTGACTCATCATGCCACCGTATTATTAACGTGAAATTTGATTGGTTGATTTGATAAGTGAAATCAGATGGTCGAAATATCACAGATTTGTCCGAATAACGACTCTGACAAGCTCATAAAAAAACCCTCTTAGGATTGAACTCGATCTTGTCCGCGCGAACTGCAATTTAATAATCGAAGACAACTCGATGTAATCGATTTTATTGAGAGAAATAGGCATTAAGAAATCCGTGAAAAGCATTAAATTAACTATTCGCCTTTTTTCATTTTTATTCATTTATAAATCTTTCGTTCTCAATTCTTATTATTATTATTAGTTTTTAGTTTTGTGATTTTTCTGCATCTGAATGATAATGCACACTGTAAAAAAAGTACGCATCAAATTACGATAAAAAGTACCGTCGATAAAAAGTACCACCACTCAGGGTTAAGGTACTTTTCCCCGGAAAATCCACTCTTACCTAAACTTGCAACGGAACAAAAAATCTGATATACCGTATTCTTACTGTAATAATTACCGTCAAATTACTGAATCACCCTGCTTAAATAAATATTACTGTAAAAATTACTGTGTAATATTCTACGACAAAAATGGATTTTACTAATGATCCAGAATTTTTTACAGAGTTTAGGAGTCTCTAATTAATATAATATTCAAGCTTTAAAGACACAAAAACGCTATCGAAATCTGTCAAATTGTTGACGATCGACACGGAATAAGAAAAAAAAGCACAAGAGCTAGTTTGATTTCCTTGTGAAATTAAAAGATTTTTCTAGCAATAGTTTTACAGTGTTTCTCTGTTTTATACAGGAATCAAGCATTTTTTTTCATCTTTTAAGCTGCTATCATCAATACTTATTGGTTAGATTTCGGTAATATTTTTATTGTTTTGTTATTTAAATATAATTTTTCAAACCCCGATGTGTTGACGCTTTTTTAACCCTCTGCACTCAAAGTTCTTTCAACAGCTAAAAAAATGAACGCAACCACTAACATTTTGAAATTTTTTTACAAATTTACCTTATAATATCCGGAGATCACTGACTGAAGTGGTAACTAAGTATTAAGGTGAAAAAAATTTCTCAATTAGAGTGGTGGGTAATTTTCAGGCGACGGTGGTGATTGACGAGTGGAAAAGGGTTAATTCACTTTGACAAGGAGTCTAAACATTTATACCAAGAACGGACAAGACAGAACATTCCTTTATATGAAAACTTGCCTAAAAATAAACATGTTCTTCAGTTAATGCCTCTCATAAATCTCAATATTAAAAATATACGGTTTTAAAAATTATTAACAGAATTTAAATGTTACAAACCTAATATGAAAGAATTATTTTTCTCTCAAATATTCATTGTCCTTTGCTTTATACTTAAACATCACTCAAATGAGCGGTGAATAATTACTCTACTAGTTTCACTTTCTGGAATAATTCATTATCAAAGACCTCATTTTTAATTCAATAAAAGGCAGTAATTTAATTATTCACGGGCTTGAATCATCTCCAAAATAATGAACGCCCAAATTGCGAAGATTCATCAAAGAATTTTCTGTGAGTCATACAATATCTTTTCATTTAATACTTCGAAAATTAATATTCAAATATGAATAAAACTATCTCGCCTCGAACGAACCATGGTGGTATGAAAGCAATTTGGCCAGACGCAGTTTCTAATGATTTCCTACATCTTTAGTTAGAAACACAATAGAACTTTGTAGTCTAGAACGGAATTTAAAACTCTCCGCTGCAAAATAATTGTGATGGATGATTAAAGTTAAGATGCGAAGAAAATGGATGACTTGACTCGTGAATAGCAAAGAGAGGAATTAGTCTGGATAAACTTGACATTTCTTAAGTGAAATTGCTCATAATTCATGTGAAATATTTCGATGAAAATGTGGTCAACGTTGGTGGAAATATATGGCATATTTAAGCTGAAGAGCCCTTTTAGTATTATAAATTTATCTTTTGTACGGTCTCAGGAATTCTTAGCTTTAAAAATTAATCTGCGTTATATTTTACGAAAGTTAGTTCTTGTTTAGGTGTGGTATATCCTCACGAAACATAAATAAAAGTTTGTAGTGTGATGAAATGCCTTCAGAGAAAAGCTTTTTTTTTAAAAAAAAAATACCTTGTTTAAATTTTTTGTGCCAGCAGTGAGGTTAAGGATGTAGCCAAAATAATAAGCAGCTACATTTTAAAAAGTGCAATGATTAAGAGTGGATTCATTTAAATTCCTTACACCCAACAACTGCTTTAATTCAACAATAATAGTACAGCTTTACTTTCGAATAAACAATAAATGTATTTAATTAAAAATTTTATTAAAGCAATAAATTATTTTTTTCGGTCATGGAATATTTTCATTTTATAATTTTCATTGAACAATAGCCAAAGTATTTCTGAGTTTATGATTATCAATGTTTAACTCCATGACCTTGTAATTTTGAGCATAGCCCAGAAGACAAAGGAACTCCTGGATCAAACATTGGGATAAACTAGCCTTAATTAGGGTCTTTTTTTCATTGAACTAACCCGCATTGACTGACATGTAGAGCCATTACTAGGATTAGAGCCTGAATCAGCTGACTGGGAAGCAAAGATCTAAGAGCATTAAAAACTATAAAAATTATATGAGAGTTTAACCAGAATTGTAACATTCTTAACACACGTTAAAAAATGAAATCTGCGGTATTGATATACGTGCTTGGAGAATTATGTTTTTTCAAAGACAAACCGTGCACTTCCTTGCTGAAAACTATAAAAATATATTAACATGTTTCTTCAGAAGCTTGCAATAAATAACAACTATTGAAATAATAATAATTAATAACACGTTTTCAAAAATATGATTATTATGACCTATATGTTACTTTTAAATTATCAAAATTGATTATTACAAATTAATAATGAGATTAATTAGTAATTGTTATTAGAAATGATAATTATATTTTTACGAAGACAAATTGTGGACGTGTTTGAAAAATGTCATCAAGAATTTGCAATAAATAACCACCAAGATTTTAACGATAACGATAATTAATAATTAATAACATGTTTTAAAAAATGTCATTATTATGATCTATATGTTACGATTAAATTATTGAAACTGCATTATTAGGAATTAATAGAGGGAATCAATTATCAGTTAGCATCTTCTGAAGGTAAAATGGTTATGTAATAGAAATTAAATTCTAGCTTTTACTAACCTAACATTAATTATAAGGCCCATGAATGACAAAAAGGTGTAAAAATGATATTTTTTCTGTAAGTTATTAGAAATGGATTTAGATCTTTTTGTTACTTATACTTAAAAAATAAATTGATCAAATTTTTCATGTCATTTTATTATAAATAAACTTTTATTGGAAAAAGCAGTTTAAATTGAAATAATTCATTCTTTTATTTGAGCCGCATATAGTATATACATACCATATGCATAATATCTTAAAGCTGAAACAATGGTTCTCGTCAATCAAAACTTTATTTAGTATATATTTGTTCAACAAGTATTTTTTTTTATTTTAGGTTTGTATTCTCATTGGAAAATTTGAACATGATGCTCTTAATTTTATTTATTTGTAAGTATAAAATAAAAAAATGCTGAATGAAACTAATTACTACAACTTTTATTTTGCTTTTTACTATTCTGGGACTTTTATGCATACATTTTATATTTAATATTTTCTAATTTTTATTTTAGCATTTGGAACTGTGTTATCAAAATCCACTGCTATTGTAAGTTACTTCATCATTTTTATTATAAAATCAGTGAAAAGTGAAAGAAAATAATTTATGAAACTTTAAAATTACCTGCAACATTACATGTTTAGAACAATTTTAATTAAAAACGTTTTCTGAGAAAATCAAGGTATTTTTGTCTAAATAGATGAGAACTGTAGTAAAAATGGTTTTAATTAATTTGGAATTTCTACTATCTCTTTTTATTCATTTTATGCTCTTAATTTTACTATTTTTTAATTATTTCATCAATATTATTAAGCTAATTTTTAAAGGAAATGTTTTCCTTTTTCCTTTACACTTATTTTTCAATTTTTTGAGTAATTTCCTATCAAAAAACAATTTACCATCAAAAAAGTAAATGTTCAAATATGAATAAAACTATCTCGCCTCGAACGAACCATGGTGGTATGAAAGCAATTTGGCCAGACGCAGTTTCTAATGATTTCCTACATCTTTAGTTAGAAACACAATAGAACTTTGTAGTCTAGAACGGAATTTAAAACTCTCCGCTGCAAAATAATTGTGATGGATGATTAAAGTTAAGATGCGAAGNATATATATATATATATATATATATATATATATATATATATAGTGTTAATAAGTTTCGACTTTCATACTTTATAAGACACCTCATATTTAGATGGAAAAAAATAATGCATAAAATGCGTCTTACCAATCTTTAAATTGTAATACAAAAACTCATACTCTCATGTCAAGAAATCTCATTCTTACGTAAGCTTTACTTTTTAGCAAAAACCATTGAAAGAAAGCTATTTATTACCTGAGGGTGCTGAACTATTAGTGGGGCCAATAAGATCGACCTTCAAATGTTTTAACAATGGCTACTATGCTGATGTAGATAATAACTGCCAAATCTTTCACATATGTTATTCAACAGATAATCCTGATGGATCGCACCAGCAACATCAATACAGTTTTCTATGTGGGAACCAAACGGTAAGCATGATAAGAATGCTATTGTATTTAAATTAGTTATATCAATTTAAAATGATATTTTTATTAATTCGAATACATTAGGACATTAGAGTCAATTTTTTAAAGCGAAAGAAAGAAAATATATTTAAAATTCCAGATTATTATTACATATATTACACTAAATACCTTATGAATTTTGAGGTGTAAAGTTGTTAAATCGAAGTTATAGTGGATTTATAATTTAATAACTACTTTTAAAAGTGAAAATTTTTATACTTAAAATATTTTCTTATACAAAATTTCAGCTTGAATGCCACGAGTTGACTTCTACTACTTCCTGGTATCATTACTCTGAGTTCGACTTTGGTTTAATTATGTGTTTATATATTATTCTTTAAACAAATTATTAAATATATAATATGTAATCTTAATTATTAGGTTTATAATATGTTATCTATTTAACTTATTACTGCAAATGCTTATTTATTATTTAAATTATCAAAATCACATTTTTTCTTAATAAATGAAGATGTTTTTTTTGTGGAAGTTACAGCAACTAGTAAAATACGTAACTGGAAATAATACTAATAATACTAAAGTATGATTCCTTGGCAGAGGTGTAATAAGAAGTTCTATAATTTTGCAGGTTTTTCTATGAATGCAAATAACAATATTACAATAATTATTTTTTAATGTGAAATTACATTTTTGGATGCGTATAACTATGTTTTCCAAACTCATTCAAATGACGTCTATACAAGAATCATATGCAATCCTGCTTATGTTTACATTCATTTACATCACTGTAATATATTTTAAGAAAAATTCTAATTTAATTATCCCCGCATTGCGTTATTTAATCATCCTCCTTGAAGCGTAGATCTTTAAACAATATTTTTTATTTTTTTTCCAGGTATTTAACCAATTGACATTCACTTGCACCTATCCTGAAGATGCCGTACCTTGCATGCACGCCCAAGACTTCTATTACTTAAACAGTCACGTAGAAGCAGCTGACCCCGAAGTCCACTTCCTAGATGACCAAGACATACAGCGGGCTGCACCTCTTATGGGACCCGATGTGTTTTCTAGAAGAGTAGAGAAACCCGTCCAACACTACGAGCCTGTAAGAAGAAGATTTGACTTTGAATAGAAATGTTGATGCTTCTGATATTTGAGACACCGGATTCATTTTGACCAACGGAAAACTGTCGTATTTTAACGTGCATTTGTTTAATCATTTCATCTTTGTCATTAAATCAAAATCATTTCATTTTGTGGAAATCTATCTGAAACTGCTTAATTAATTTGTTTTAAAAAACGTAATAATAATCAACTAGTTTTACTAGTCTGTGTAAGCCTTAATTTTTTCTACTTGAGTCAACTCTTTAGGCTTTTTCAAAAGAGAATATTGCAAAGCGTTGCAGAAAAAATTAATTTTAGGAATTTTATTTAAATTGATTGAAACCGTTCATTTAAATTGATTGAAAAAATATATCGGTTAGAAAACAAGTTATTTTCACCTTCATTTTCTAATTAGAATAATATTGTAGTTTTTAGATTGGTTAAAATTTTGTAATTCATAATATCCAATGTAACAAATTTTTCAGACCAGCAAGCAATATGACCAATTCATTTTAATAATGTTTATATCCTTCAATTTATTTATAGTTCCATTAATCTGTTTTGTGATATAATTGTTTTATTAAAATGTTATTTTACAAGGGACATTCAGTTAATTCACAATTTAATTAATCTTTTCTACAACAAAATATAGCTGCCTAAATCTCATTAAAAGTTTAAAAAAATACTTGATATAACTTTTTTACAGTAATTTTCCCTTTTGTAACACTTCTAAAAGTCATAGAAATGTATTTTCCTTACTCCCTGAAAAATAGAATATTCTGCTAACATAAGTAAAACATTTATAATTCTGAAACAAATCAAAATAATTGCAAAACTGTTTCAATTATTCTGAAATAATGACTACTGCTCCTACTTATTTTTAAGATATAAAATAAGAAATTTAACAACATTCTATAAAAATATTTAATTTTGTTTTACAAAATCAATTTAATAATAAATAAGGCTTAAATGCAATTCATTACAGAAATTATTTGTCCCTCGTCTTCAAATATGCTTCAAAAAGATTTTATTTGCTACAAAGATCAAAGTTTCATCTTATCACAATATGTTTTTGCACAGTATGCTGTTAATAATAATCATTTTCAGAGCACATAGAGATTTTAATGTTCTTGGATAATAAAACCAGCGTGACATTTTGTGCTGTGTGGGTGCTAAAAAAACATAATTGAAGTTATATGTTCAGGCAACTTTTATGAAAGTATCATTTCTGTCTACGTGCTCTAAAAACTTTTATTATTTTAATCATTTATTATAAAATTATAATTAATGTGATATAAAAAGTATTATAAACTTTAATTGTTACAGTATACCAAAACTGAATAATTCATGAAAGTTTGTATTTATTGGAGAAAGTATTCATTGCCCGTGTGATTTGAATTGGTTTGTTTTAATTAAAAATTAAATGACTATTCAATAAAATTGCTTATTTTTTAATAAATATATTTGAAGTTATTATTCTACAAAACATTTTACAGAACATTTGAATCACGTCTAAATCTGTAGTGCGTATTGAAATGAGTCATTTTTGTGCAACTGTTCCTCTTTTCATTTTAATACATATCCATTTTTGCACAAGTTACAATGAAGTGTAATGTTGTATTTAATGCTGGAAAAAATGTTTAATTATGTTTAAGGGATAAAATAATACCAAATGTTTACCAATAAATTAGGGTCTTGTGGGGATAAATGTAACAATTTCCTTAGATTAATTAAAATAAAAACTTATTAATTTAAAACTTATTTACTTATTATTAATTTATCACTTAAAATAAAATGTGTTTTTTGTAACTTAATGCGATTACAGAAGCTTAAACTGCTATATTTGATTTTATAAATAATTATTGCGCAGTTGATTTTAAATTTTACTTAAAATTTTTCTTAGAGCAAATGCCTTTCGCTTAATTGCATTTCGCTTAAAAGTCTAAAATGATTGCTTTTCCAGCTCTAATTAAGATTTGAAAATGCTCTAGACTCTTGAAAATGTTTTTGTTTTCATCAAATATTAATGAAAATAATATTCATTACATTAAAAACGTAGCTATCATTCATTATATGCTTCTTGAATGTTCATAAATTATGATTTTATTATGTATTTGTCATATATAGAAAAAACATATAAATTAGGAAATCATATATAGTTAAAATATTCCACTCTGCTAAAAAGAAGAAATTAAAACATTATTGCTATTTTTTATTATAAACTTTAATTTTAAAATGTAAGCAGTCAGATATATTTTTCTTTTCAATAACAGTTTTTTAAAATATGCGTATTTAACAAATTTTTCACTCATACATATTTGAAAATCGTAAGAGTGTTTTGTTATATTATTAGTTTTTAAAAGCTCTCTCATTTATTTTTATCATTATATATCAGTATTACATTATTAATAATTCAAAATTAACTTTTTTCCTTTAAAATTTCGATTTTTCTTAACCTTTTTCCGCAGAACAATTTATTTAAGGAGTTAATTTGTTTTCTACTTTTACAAAAAGTTTTTATTTTCTATAACATTTTCTAGACAAAATAAATGTATATACCAAAAAGTAAAGCAAATAAATATCTCCTTCGGTATATATATATATATATATATATATATATTGTCATGCAANTTAAAACATTATATATATATCACAGATCAAACACAGCTAAATGCTTTTTTATCTTCTTTTCCTGCATTTTATTTATAAATATGCTGATAAATTTTTAAAAAAATAATTAATAAATATAAAAATAAACAATGAATAAAAAATAAATTTGTTAATTAAATAAATTTGAAAAATATGTTTATTCATTAGAACTAATAATCGAGATTTGTTTCAGTCCGTTTTTTTCGACTTGTCAGTTGAAGAAAAACGAGAAGAGATAGAAAAATTCAGTTCTTCCATGGAAACTAGACAGCTTAGTCTCACTAAATTTCAATATTTGTTCTAAAGTTCTTCAATCGATGGCATTTTTGTCGCCAAAAAAAATATGTTTGCAGCTAAGTGTTTGCAGCCATTTCAAATGGAATATTCGGGGGAATGTATGTTAAAATTTTCCTCGGACTGAGCCACGTTGTTTTTACAAACAGCAGTTACATGGGAAACTTTTTACAGCAGTAGGTGGCTCTGTTATAGGCCCATTTGTTGAGAACTGCTGTTATTTAAATCATAGATTGTCTTCAGGGCAGCTAGCGTAACAAAAAAGATCACTCTGATTTGCTGTTTTCTTCTAAAACTGCAGCAGTCAATTATTCAAATTTAAAAGCCTAGATGCTAGATAAATATAATTTAGCCAGATTTGATCTAACTTATAAAGTTTCTAAAAATGATTCAGCCAGTTTTTAAACAATTTTCCTTTTATGATATTCAAATTAAAAAATGGATACGATTACAATATAAAATATTACATATTCATTGAGAGAAATATAATTAAACAATTTACAAACAAGCAACTTCTGTTAAAAACATTTCTCAAAAGTAAAAATGTGTGAAAAACCTAGCTCTTATTATTCCATGAAAGTGAAAAGGTAAGTAAGTTTTGAATTAGAGTTGCTCTGTATTTTGACCTTGAGACAATTTCATTGAAATTCTGAATGTCTACCTCGAACTTCAACTTCAAAATTGGGTTGAAGGGCGTATGTAAAAATGGTTTGTTAAATTTAAAGTGTAAGAATTCTTTTTACTCCTGAGATAATCCATTTTATCTGGAAAAGAAAAATTTTCAAAAACCGATTTATTACATTGGAAAAAGAGAAATCTTTGTCAAAATAGATGTTTAAAGTGCCTATCAGCTTTAATTTTGACTTTACCGTGCATATTAATTCAAGAATTGCACGAGTAACTATGAAGATTATACAAAAACAGCATTTTAACATAAATTTCACAATATTAATTAAGGAAAATGTAACAATATAAACGATTAAAGTAATTAATGTTTTTACAATTTTACATAAATAAAACGAAAAATTTATATGTATATAATATTATTTAAGTTAAAATGTCTAAAAATCTTCAAATTGATGCTAAAGATTTTTCACTAGATCCATTGGACGCAGCTATGTTAAATGAAAATTGCTTTTCTTAGAATCAATGATTTATTAATGTACATGAAAAGAAGGATATTTTTTTCTGAAAAATTAGTAAGTTATATTTTTATAGCTTGTTCCCGAAACGGGAGTTTTGGAGCCTAGCGGTATATAGTCATATTTTTCTCCAAACCCCTCCAAATTTTCAAATGTGGTTTAAAATACCCCAACTACTCCATACAATTGGACAATAAGTGCAGTTTCGTGTCATAAATAAAATTTATTTAAAATAAGCAAGAGACAAAATTTCATTTTTTCGTTCTGTCTATTTGTTTTATTTCCTAACCGCAAGCTACAATGTAAGGCATTTTTAAATCATTATTCCTTTGTTTATTGTTTCTTTTATTTATTATTTTCCAAATCGTTATCGAAGTTTAAGGTATTTTAGAATAAACATCCTACGGATTAAATAAGTAAATTTTGCAGTTAAAACATTGCGCATATTATGTGCAAAATGTAATATTAATTAGCGTAAAATTAAAAAAACAATTCTAGACATAATAAAATGGCTATTTTTTTATAAACTTTTATCTTTCATGTAAATGTCGCAAAAAATCTGCAACTTCCAATAAGTAAAATAATTTGCATAGTTAAAAAAATCATTTAGAAATTGCAACTTTTAATTATCAAAATTAATGGTTTTAATTGGTTATTTTTCATTTAAAATTGGAATAAAAAGAAAATGGTTAAAAAATATAAATTCAGCAATTAGAAAATCTAATCATGTGAAAGAGATAAAGTATGATACCCTTGATAATGGAAAATATAATGGTACAAAAAATATCAGATTGAATCTTAATGTAATTATTAGTTTTGGGCATAACGTATTAAACCTAATGCAAGATATTTAGCCATTATATAATTACACGTGATAATAATTGCAATGCATTTTTTTATCAACTAGAGAAAATAATATTTTTATCGATATTGAATTCTGTCCTCTAGAAACTGATAAAAATATCTTTCATTCTTTTTATACTCTTTGACTCAACTTCTTTACTTTATTATTTTTTTATGTTTCTTTCATTTATTTTAATACATAGTTTTATTTTCGAAAAATGAGACACTGCAATGGAATAAATTTTGGTTATGAAATATGAAGCATAAAAAATGTTTTAAGTACCTTAACCAC